TATTGCCGTGAAACATTTGCCGAAAATGAGTATGAGTTACAAAATATTGAAAAACTGGAACGTGACTATATTGATCAAAGACCTATTTGGTGGTATACTTATCAATATTTTTTATATTCGATGCTTAATCAAGCATTAAGATTAATGAATGTTGATATTATTGTTCGAATGGGTTTCTTTATTAGTGATCTACATCGTGATATTCAACGACTCCATTCGGAACAATTTCATGGTCAACAATCTAAGAAAACATTTACAGTTTATCGTGGGCAATGTCTTTCAAAAGAAGCTTTTACCGAAATGACAAATACTAGAGGTGGACTTCTTTCATTTAATAACTTTTTATCAACTAGTAAAGATCGTGATGTTTCTCTCTTATTTGCACCACAAGTTGCTACAAATCCTGATCTTGTTGGAATTCTATTTGTTATATCAATTAATCCTATTCATTCGACAACTCCATTTGCTTGTGTTAGTGATGTTAGTCATTTTCATATGGAAGATGAAGTTCTTCTCTCTATGCATACCGTTTTTCGTATTGGAGATATTCAACCAGTGGAAGGAAATAATAATCTCTATGAAGTGAATTTAACATTGACCAATGAAAGCGATCAAGATCTTCGAACTCTTAGCGATCAGATTCGGCAGGAGACGTTTCCAGATGAAAAAGGATGGTACAGATTGGGATCATTACTGATTAAAATGGGTCAGTTTACCAAAGCTCAAGAAGTGTATGAGGTTTTACTTCAACAAGCAACAAATGAGAGTGACAAGGCGCCGATTTATTATCAACTAGGTTGGATCAAATATAATCAAGGAGAATATCAAGAAGCACTTATATTTCATGAAAAAGCTCTTACAATTCAACAACAATTACTTCCTCCTAATCATCCTGATTTGGGTGATTCCTATAACAAAATCGGTATTGTATATTACAGCATGGGTGATTATCCAAAAGCACTTTTATCTCATGAAGAAGCCCTTGCAATTCGGCAAAAATCACTTCCTTCCACTCATCCTGATTTGGGTGGTTCCTACAACAACATCGGTTTGGTGCATTACAACATGTACGATTTTCTAAAAGCACTTCCTTATTATGAAAAAGCCCTTGCAATTCGACAACAAGCACTCCCTTTCAATCATCCTGGTTTGAGTGCCACCTATAACAACATTGGTTTGGTACATTATAACATGGGTGATTATCCAAAAGCACTTTCTTATTATGAAAAAGCCCTTGCAATTCGACAACAATCACTTCCTTCCAATCATCCTGATGTAGGTGCTTCCTATAACAATATTGGTTTGGTGTATAATAGCATGGGTGATTATCAAAAAGCACTTATTTATTATGAGAAAGACCTTGTAATTTCACAACAATCACTTCCTTCCAATCATCCTGACTTGGGTGCTACCTATGACAACATCGGTTTGGTGCATTACAATATGGGTGATTATCCAAAAGCACTTTCTTATTATGAAAAAGCCCATGCAATTCGACATCAATCACTTCCTTCCAATCATCCTGACTTGGGTGATTCCTATAACAACATCGGTTTGGTGTGTAATAGCATGGGTGATTATCTAAAAGCACTTACATCTCATGAAGAAGCCCTTGCAATTCGACATCAATCACTTCCTTTCAATCATCCTGATTTAGCTTCTTCCTACATGGGTATCGGTTTGGTGTATAGCAGCATGGGTGATTATCTAACAGCACTTTCATCTCATGAAAAAGCCCTTGCAATTCGACAACAAGCACTTCCTTCCAATCATTCTGACTTGGGTAGTTCCTATAACAACATCGGTTTGGTGTATTGCAACATGGGTGATTATTCAAAAGCGCTTTCTTACTATGAGAAAGCCCTTGCAATTCGACAACAATCGCTTCTTTCGAATCATCCTAGTTTGGGTGCTACATATAATAACATGGGTCTGGTATATGAAAATATGGGCGATTATTCAGAAGCTCATTCATTTTACGAACGTGCTGTACAAATTGGAGAACAGTCATTACCAGCAAATCATCCTGATCTTCAAGGATACAGAAAAAATCTCGAAAACATAATAACGAAATGATAATTTCTTTCTATTTTTTTAGAGTAAAATAAAACTGATGAAAAAGAAAACGTGTCTATTGAAACTCTGTTCTTGTTGAGAATACAATATGAGCAGTAACGCTCACTGGTAAGGTAAACAATACATATTGAAAAGATATGTAATGTAGAAAAGACCTTCACGGTTACATTATTGTGTCTGAACAAGTAGAGTTTCGTTGTGTTAGATAAGAATGAAAGATACTCAACAGAAACATAGAAAGAGAAAAGAAGAATGAAAAATTTGTGGAGTGAAAAAAACGGAATGTAGCTCTGAGAGAGAATCAAGCTAAACATTTTGATTATGATTATATCAGAATGGATTTCTAACTATAAATTATTGTGAAGAAATTTTCAAACCTACTGAGGGAATAAAAAATGAAGAAAATTTCATCTAAAGGGTTTGTCCGACTAGTTTTCCTCGAAACAATAACATGACTTTGATTATGTTACAAAAATGAAAATCATTATATTAGCTCAGTTCTTTTTGTATGATTTTCATTCAATGATTTTGATTTTTTACCGATTGAAGTCAATACATTGGTTTTATTATTTTTTCACCTGAAGCATCACACTTATCTTGTTTTCATGAATTATTGAAAACTATTAATAAAGCCACATAACAAGGCATTTTTTGATAATTTATAGTCATCTTTTTCATATAGATAAATAATGGCAGAGTACAAGTTTCAATAGATTGCAGAATACGTTTTTTCATGGAGATTTACTCCATGCTCCTTCTCAGAGACGATGATTCGTTTTTCTAGATTATCAATTCTTCGAAATTTAAAGCTTTGTATCGCATTTTGCAATTGAGTGAAACTCGAATGCTATCTAATTTTGGCTAGTTTTGTATTAAAGGACATTAATATATATATAAACAAATTACAGCACAACACATTGTGAATGGTTTTTGAGAACTATCAGTAACAAATGATGTATTTTTCTGTGAGAGTTACCGATTAATAGAATCAGTTAGAAATAAATAATAAAATATCATTGTTATCTATATTGACTTTCTCGTCGATCATTGAATTGAGCGTATGTTTATAGTAACAATGTATCTCATTTTTCATAGATTTCATATCTTTTCAAAAGTTGATAAACAGTTGACTTCCTTAATAGTTCTTTTAATAGAGTGAACAAATCCATGTTCAAAGAAGAGTTGATATGATCATGTTAAGTTGTTGTAATCGATTGATAGTTTCAATGACTCCTTCCTGTTCTAGTTTATCAACACCATCATCACATGTAGATAAACTATGTACAATACTTATGATAGATCGACAATCAGTAGTATATAAAGCCAGATAATTTAACTATTCAAGAACACTTTTACGATGATAATGCTAAAATCGTTTGATATAGAATTTTAGTAATTCGTGATGTTCTCTGTTCAGGTATTGAAATTTCAAATTTTTTGTTAGACATGTAAACACGTAGTTTTAAAATATAGACTTATATTTTATATAAATATCATTGTCGACAAAATGTACAAATTTCAATTTCATGTATATTAAGAAGGTCTAAATGGCTAAAGAATATTTGTTGTTAAAAATGACTGTCTAGCTTAAATAAATCGGTTTTAATATTAATTAAGGTATAACTAATATCAGTTTATTTATATAATATTTTTTTATAAATATAACTACTTAAAATGTATTGAATTACACACAATGGCTCACTATCATTTTATCTAGCTGATAATGAAGTTTGAAATCAAACAACATGTAATTTTATATAGAGCATCAAATATTTTTGTGAAATTTCTACTATTGTATTATATCAATATACATCTAATACGAGGTAGTATTTCTTCTTTGGAACATAGATATGAAAAAATTGTATGAATCGAACAAAAAGCTCTTCTAATGCTTTTATCAACATATCACTTGAAATCATATCATTTATTATTTTTTATCGAATAAGTCATACTGACAAGTGTTATGTGTTCTGTGTTATTAATGTTAGTAACTTGTTTTGTACTTTTTTTTGCACAGTACATATATTCATACATTATATTCATGTGATGTTTTTTTTCCTGCAACTAATACAATAACGTCAAGGTTTTCTATCGTTATTACAGGTATCGTGTATCTTGCATATACATATAAATACAATTCGAATAAGTGTGTTTATTTCATATATATTTTGAAAGAATAAAAATGATCAATCTTCGTGTTTTTATCTATTTTTTCATTGTGATGATTTTCATCACTTGTACTTCTGCTCGAGCACGAAATTGGGATGATTCGGAATATTATGATAAAAGGTAAATGCTAGTTTTATTTGTATAATAAATATATATATATGATTAATATATTTATTTAGACTGTTCGGATGTATTGCGCTTGGTGAACCATGTAAACATACGCTTCTTGCAAAAGCATGTTGTGAGAAATCTAAATGTCATCCGACTACAAACACGTGTGTAAGTGTTACTTCATCAGGTACATGGCTCGATCATCGAAATGGAAAATAGACAATTCATATAATTAAACTATGGTTTCTTTTTTTAAAGTTTAACATCGATTTTTTATTATGAAAAAAATGCTTGCTTACAAGTTAAATAAATATTCAATAGATTTATAGAATAAAATAGAAATTATATCGTTCTCGGAGATTAACGACATCTACCAAAGTTATTCGCTTTTGTTATTTATTTCAATATATTTATATAAAGCGCTACGTCATATGAGGAAAGAGAAAGATAGTGGCACTACTAGAATATTCTTTGCTACAAATGATTTTCTTAATTTAATTTGATTTGTTGGGTTATTTCGTCATGAGTTGTATATGAGTAAACTTTTATGATCAAAACATTTAAATACGATTGATGATTTTACACTGTACGTCATAATATTTTTTTGTTTCTTTCAGATACTTTTTTTTTCTTATGTCATAAGTATGGAAGAACAAACAGGTATAAATAATCAATTATCAAAAACTTCTACAAACTTAGATCAAGAATCTTTACTTGCACTTGTTGCGGTTCGTCCTCCAACACCAGATAAATGTGCTGTATGTTTAAATAATAAACAAGTTGATATTATTGCTCGAATCGATTCATGTTCACATACATTTTGTTTTTCTTGTATACTTGAATGGTCAAAAGTACGTGCTATTTGTCCATTATGTAAACAACCATTTAATTTAATAACACGCGAACATTATTCTGGTGATCTTATTGAAGAAGTTCGTATACAAGCACCACGACGATCATCATCAACAACATTTACAAATATTAATGATGTTCTTAATTGGGTTGATCGACATCATTCAAGATCAAATCATTCTAATAATGATAGACCTCAAGATGTATTTCGCCAAATGGTTTATATTGAATGGTTAAATACAATACAATCGATTGTTCGTCGACCAAAGTAATATATTTTTCTATTTTATATATATATATATTAAAATGATCTAATTGAATTTTTATTTAGTAATACTTCAAGAAATTCTTTTGTTTCACCATTTGTTCGTGAAACACATACAACAACATCATCTTGGTCAAATATAATACCACTTGATTCAATACGTCGTCTTCTTCATCGTTATTTACGTCAAACAACATCGGATTTACGACAATCAACAATTTATTCTCAATCAACACGTCAGACAGTTGCATTTCGAAAATATATTTATTTAAATCATTTACTTGTACGTAGTCCATTAATTGGACATAATCATGATACATTAACTGTACGTGAATGTTCACCAACATGGTATGCATCAAATCCAGCTTGTCTTCATCGTTTGGTACCATTTTTAGCAAGAGAATTATTAGCTTTATTATGGAATGATGAAACAACTATTGAACATATTATACAAGAAATTTTAACAACTATACAATTACATAATATACGTTCAAGTTTTTTAACAAGAAAATTAAATGAATATCTTCGACGCTATACAAGACATTTTATACATGAATTTTATACATTTGCTCGTTGTCCATATGACTTAGCCGGTTTTGATCGTCATGCTCAATATCCAAGAATGAATACAACGCCAAATATACCATTACCTATGCAGATTTCAATAGATGATGATGATGATAATAATAATAATGATAATAATGGAAATGAACAAACACCAATTATACTTGATGAAACTCCAGATGTATCAATTAATATTGTAAGTTTATTATTAATAAAAAGTAAAGATTATATTAAAAAAAATTTTATTTAATTATTTTAGACAGATATTGCATTGTCGTCATCGTCGTCTTCATCATCATCATCATCCTCAGCATCATCAGCATCTTCATTATCATCATCATCTCCTTCTTCATCACCATCACCAATAGAAATTGAGCATCGATCATCATCACCTGAATGTGAAATTGTTGAATATGT